AGCCTTAGGTAAAAGGCCTAGTGATCTTCTGAAAGGACACTATAAAGTGCAGTTCTACTCTGAAATACATGGAGTTGCCATAAGTTCAAATCCACTAAAAGGCAATTGGTTTTGTTGGTTAGCACCTACTATGGATAAGATGCTGTGGTCAGCTCTTTGAATGCAGTGCTTAACAAAAAATTGATCTGGTCTCTGACTTCATTGGGCTTGGAGTCTAGTGGGGTAGACAACAATCAAATAATTTAAAAGATGGGATAAGTCATGAAATACAGGTACATAGTCCTAGGAACTTATAGGTGATGTGAGAACATGTCTTATGGGGGAAGGCTTCCTTGAGGAAATTATATTGATTGAAAATCTGAAGTAGGAACTAATAGGCAAAGGTGAGTGTGGTAGGAAGCATTACAAATACAAGGCACAAAGTGTACTGAGGTTCTCGGTAGCAGGGAGCATGGCATACAAGCCTGACAAATTGGAAATGTGTGCAGAATGAGGGAGAGACATGGACTATGCAGGACCTCATAGGCCACGCTAAGAATTCCCTTGGTATGTTTTATGCTGTGTGGGTTGTGTGACAGGATTAGACAAGCATGTTTTGAAAAGATGATTCTGGCCTTATTAGATTAGTGGATTAGAAGAGAAATGTTACAGAGAAAGCCTTCCCTTAAAGTCAACACCCTGAATTCAGACTTCTAGCCTCCCAAAATGTGAGGAAATAAATTTCTGTTTGTTAATGCCATCCACTTGAGATATTCTGCTATAGTGGCACTAGATAACAAAGATAGGACGATTGGATTACAATATCCAACTTAAAGATAATGAAATCTTGAACTAAAACATAGAGGCAGAGGAGATAGAAGTGAAGAGACCAAGAGATATAAATACTAGTATAGGTTGGCTATGGGGAGTGAGGGAAAAGAAAGTGTTAAAGACAGCTCCTAGCCTTTTGGATGGATATTGTTATTGTTAAGTGCCATTGAGTCAGTTCCAATTCATAGCGACCCTGTATAGGGTTTCTAAGGAACCACTGGTGGGTTTGAACAGCTGACCTTATAGTTTGCAGTCTAGTGCTGATCCTACAGCTCCACACCAGGAGTCCTTTGGCTGGATAGTGGCCCCATTCACAGAAAAGATTAGAAGAGGACTGGATTTGTTTGAGAAAGGGGTTGAATTAGAGGGCAACAAAGATTATAAATTCAGCTGGTGAACCCACCATCTGTGTTGGAAGAAGTACAGCCAGAATGCTCCTTAGAAGCCAAGATGGCCAGACTTCATTTCTCATACTTCGGACATATTATCAAGTCTACCTTACAGGGATCAGTCCCTGTAGAAGGACATCAGGCTTGATAAAGTGGAGGAAATGCTACAGTGGCAGTAGCAATGGGCTCAAGCATAACGATTGTTAGATTGGTGCAGGACCAGGCAGTGTTTCATCCTGTTGTGCGTAACATGGCTGTGAGTTGATACCAACTCGTCGGCACCTAACAACAACAACAATGTTGACATTGAGTTGTCTTTAAGATGGCCAATTAGAGGTGCAGATGGAACATCTTGACTTCTTCATTCTTTTTGTATAGACAGTATTAAAATCTCATTTACAGGTCTGGCGGACTCCTTACCTTATGAGTAGTTGGTGTGAGGTAGAATTTGCTTTCTGCAATCGAATTTGGAAATGACAGAGACTTACTTTCCCAGAAACCCTTGCTTCTAGGAAATTACTAATAATCTATGCTTTGATAATCAGATGCACCCATCAGGTACTTTGAAGACGGAACTCTGACACCAAGAAGCAGGAACCTCAAAGAATCCTCTGGTAGTGGTGACAGTTCCAGCAAAGGAATATCTCAAGGTGCTGCTTCGGGTAGCATCCACTGTCTCCTGCTGGCACACAAAGGCTGTCATACCTAAGAGCAAATGTGT